AAAATAGGATGTGGAACAATGTTTTTGTGTAGTTTTTATGCCAATTGAGCTTGAGGTACCCTGAGACCATGGTCCTGAGTCCACAGGTCCAACTACTCACTCCCTCTGGGTAGTTGGCTGTGGCCAAGAAGTGACTATAAACTTGTCCCTTGTCAGCTCTACTATATATCTGGGAATTCTTACAGAATATACAAGTACACTTGTAGAAACATTGGCTGACAACCCTATACATATATACATGGGTACAATTCCCCCTGCATAGACATACCTAATCATTCAGCCTGTCTACCCATCTATCCATCCATAGATCAATGTTTACCTTCACTGACAACACAGTACTGTATGTGCAAAAGGGTTCATCTTTGTTGTCTGTACCTCCCAAGAGGCTCTCTATGTCTTCCTCTTCCTCATTGCCACATGTTGATCACTCACATTTGGTACATTGCCCTTCTCTTCACCCAAATCAATACTTGTCTCTACCTATCTAACAAAGTTCCCTCCCCTCCCCTCCCACCCCCTGTAACCAACAAGGAAAATTTCCTTCCATATATAAACCTTTCTTTGACTTTTAATAATAACAGACTAATACAATATTTGTCCTTCTGTGATTGACTTATTTCACTCAGCATAAAGCCCTCCAAGTTCATCCATGTTAAGCGGTGCTTTGTAGATTCTACGTTATCCTTTAGGGTTGCATAGTATTCCATTGTGTGTATGTACCATAGTTTGGTTATTCATTCTTCTGTTGATTGGCACCTAGGCTGTTTCCATCTTTTGCCTATTGTAAATAGTGCTAAAATGAACATAGGTATGCATATATCTGTTCTTATCTTGGTTTTCACTTCTTGAGGATATATATCTAGTAATAGAATGGCTGGGTCAAATTGTATTTCTAATTCCAAATTTTTAAGGAATCGCCATACTGTTTTCCACAGTGGTTGTATCACTTTATAGTCCCACCAGCTATGACAGTCCCAATCTCTCCACATTCTCACCAACGTTTGTTGTCCTATAGGTTTGCTTTCTTGTTTGCATTTCTTTCTTGTTGAGCTTTGCTACTAGTGCTGGGGCAAGATGGTATATCGTTGTTTTGATTTGCATCTTTCTAACAGCTAATGGTCGTGAGTATTTCTTCATATGTTTGTCGGCCACCTGAATGTCCTCTTTGGTGAAGTGTCTATTCATGTTTTCTGCCCATTTTTTAGGTTAAGTTTTTCTTTAGTAATCAGTACATAAAATCTGTTTTTTTCAGTTGAATAAGTTTTTTACAGATTTTTTTAGTCTATCAGATGTTTTGTTGTTCATTTGTTCTTAAACATATAAGGGAACTAAACTCCTAAGGATTAAATGGTTGAATCTTCTGCTGAGGTTAAAAAGCGAGTTTAAGGCTGCAGAGACCACTTTGAAAATTAGCACATTCTGCTGGAATGAGAGTGGGAAAGTGTGTTTTCACTTTCTCCCTTTCCTTTTCATAAAGATAGTTGCTTGAGCTCCAGAGCTCTGGATTTGTACCTTAGCACAACCTCTTATTATCTAGTCATTTGAGAAAGTTACTTAAATTCTCTTTTTCCAAGTGTTCTTCCCAGAAAAGAACTGGGAACAGTAACAGTGCCTACTCCAAAGAGTTGCTACAAGCAGGAAAGGTCCAGGTATCTACAACCTCAGCATGACTGACTGCGAGACTCAGTGAGGACTAAGTGCCCAGTGGCTGCTGCTACTCAGTTCCCCTTCATTGTCGCTGTAGCTTCTGCTTCATCTGTCGATGTCTCTCTTTCATTATCTCTCTATTTTTTTTTTTTTTTCTTTTTTATCTCATTCACTTCTCCAAACCAGAAGGTAAAACCAAACCTGGGGCCCTTGAATTAACTCCGACTTGTGCGCCGTTCTCTAACCTGCAACAATTTTTCAACTGTTTGCTTCCATCCTTTGGGCAGCCTCTCTGTATTCTCACTACATATTGGTCTCGTGTCATAAGGTATTATCTTTGGGGCCCAATACAGAGGAGGAGATGCCTCAAGGTGGTAAAGAACAGAAGTGAGAAAGGGCTGAAGCCTAATAATGAACAGCAGGCATCTGTACAGATAATGTGTGAGGGAACATCACATATTGAACAGAAAAAAAATGCCTGACTGTTTGGCCTAACATGCATCTTCATAGTATATAATTATTGGAATATGCCACTTTAGGCATCACAAATTGTTCAAAGAGGCCCTTGCCATTTGAGTTAATAGCATAATGATTTAGCTCAGATTAGTCATACTGTTGTGCTGTATGCCGGGAATTAAAGTTCCGTCTTATTACTTCAAGTTATGGCTCAGGGTCCAAATAAGAACATTGGGAGTGTGTATTTGTGTGTGTGTGTTTGCAAGCAGATAATCTTTTCATGCTGCAGCCACGTAAGGTTAAATTTCTTGTCTTATTCCAAACTTACTTCTTATTCTTCCTTATTATCCATGGGAACTCTTGGCTCTTCCCTGTATGTTTTACTGCCAAACCTTATGCTCTGCTTCAAATAATACCCATGTCAAATTATATTTCTTCTAACAAGATACCTCAGCAAGAGGCATTATCTTCATTCTCTGAACTCCTTAAGTACAGTACTTGTAATTTTCATCATGATCCTCAAAATGACAACAACCATAATTTATTAAGTGTTGACTATATGTCAACTCGTTGGGTTAAGTACTTTACATAGGTTAATTTACTTAATTCTTGGAATTCTGTGAAGTAGGTTCTATTATCCCTATTTTACACAGGAGGCAACCAAGATTTAGAGAGCCTTAAGTGATTTGCACAAAATATACAGCTATTAAGTGAAAAATCCAGAAGTCACACCCAGATGATCCCAAGACCTTATATTTTTAACCCTTGACACATACTGACCTTTAGTCTAATACTGAGAGCACAAGGTACATTATTTTTCCTAGATTATATGATGCTTGAGAAAGAGACTGTTATTTCTTTTATTTCTCCATTGTTTATGTCCAGGATCTAGCAACTCAATAAATATTGGTTGAATGAATTTGATGAGTAAATTATAGTTTAAAAAACCAAAAACCTGGGAATAATTTGTTCCTTAAAATGTATTTTAAAAAAAATTAAGAAGTTTTTTAATAGCTATAAGTAAGTCACTAGACGAACTTAAAAGATATCCTTTATGGGTAATCATGGTTTACTTAATATTGCTGTTATGTACTGTTGACTTGGTTCTGATTCATAGTGACCCTGTGTCCAACAGAACAGAACACTTCCTGGTCCCGTACCATCCTCACTATCAGTGCTGTTTGAGCCCATGGGGGCAACCACTGTGTCGACCCATGTCCTAAGAGTCTTCCTCTTTTTCAGTGACCCTCTACTTTACCAAGCATGCTATCATTCTCCAGGGACTGGTCCCTCCTGATAACATGTCCAATTTATATGAGATGAAGTCTCACCATCCCGACTTCTAAGGAGCATTCTGGCCGTACTTCTTCCAAGACAAATTCATTTGTTCATCTGGCACTGCAAAGTGCATCACATATTCTTCACCAACACCATAATTCACAGGCATCAATTCTTCTTGATCCTCCTTATTCACTGTCCAGCCTTAGTGGCCATATGAGGAAATAGAAAATAATCGTAACTTGGGTCAGGTGCATCTTAGTCCTCAAAGTGACATCTTTGCTCTTTAACACTTTTAAGAGATCTTTTGTGGTAGATTTGCCCAGTGCAATATATCATTTGATTTCTTCACTGCTTCTTCCATGGGCATTGGTTGTGAATCCAAGTAAAGTGACATCATTGACAACTTCAACATTTTCTCTGTTTATGTTTATCATGATGTTGCTTATTGGTCCAGTTGTGGTAGTTTTTGTTTTCTTTATGTTGAGGTGTAATCCATACAGAAGGCTGCAGTCTTTGGTCTTCATCAATAAGTCCTTAAGTCCTCTTCACTTTCAGCAAGCAAGGTTGCGCATTGTTAATAAGTCTTCTTCCAATCCTGATATCACATTTTTTTTCATCTTGTTCAGCTTCTTGGATTATTTCCTTAGCACACAGATAAAGACAGTGTGGTGAGAAGTTGTAATACTGACACACACCTTTTCTGATTTTAAACTTCACAGTGTCTCCTTGTTCTGTTCCAATGACTGACTCTTGGTTTATGGACTTGTTCTGTATGAGCAAGATTAAGTTTTCTGGAATTGCCGTTCTTCACAATGTTTTCCATAATTTGTTATGATCCACACCAGGGAATACCTTTGCATAATCAATAAAACACAGGTGAACATCTTTCCCATATACTCTACTTTCAGCCAAGATCCATTTCACATCAGTAATTATATCCCTTGTTCTACATCCTTTTTTGGAACTGGCTTGAATTTCTGGCAGTTCCCTGTTGATGTACTAGTGCTACAACTGTTTTTTTAATTATTTTCAGCAAGATTTTACTTGTGTGAGATAGTAATGATATGGTTCAATAATTTCTGCATACTGTTGGATCACCTTTCTTTGGAATGGGCACAAATATTAATCTCTTCTAGTCAATTGGCCAGGTAGCTGTCTTCCAAATTTGTTGGCATAGATGAGAAAGAATTTCCAGTGTTGCATCTATCAATAACTATGTCAAATGTCTTTCTTCATATTCCTTAAAACTCAATATGTGAATAATACATAAAATGATGAGATATTAATTCATTATTTTTTGAACACTCCTGTATAGGAGCTCTGGTGGCATAGTGCCTAAGGGATTTGCCTGCTAACCAGAAGGCTGGCAGCTCAAACCCAACAGCCACTTCTCAGAAGGAAGATTGGGCAATTTACTTCCATAGTGATACTGCATCAGATACCCAAGAAGGGGTCAATATGAGTTGGATCCGACTCAACAGCAGTGAGTTTAGTATTTTGGTTTTTATATAGATAATTTGGTTCAGGTTATCAAAACATTTTTATTTAATCAACTTTATGTGTTAAATATGTCAATTACTTTGTTAGTCTTATGCTTTGTTTTGTTTTGTTTCTAGGATGGCGTAGGGGTAGATGAGAAGCTGTCTTTAAGGAGAGTAGCTGTGGTTGAAGATTTCTTTGACATTATCTATTCAATGCATGTGGAAACAGGGCCAAATGGAGAACAAATTAGAAAACATGCTGGACAAAAAAGAACTTACAAAGCCGTAAGTAAAAAAAGGAAAATCATCCATTGTGAACCTTTGGTATTACCTGTGCTTGTTAAAGTAGGTTAAAGAATTATGTAATCTCTCTTCTCTCTTCAACATAAATTAGACCATATCATGGTCATACCCAACATTTTAGATATAATTATTATTGACTCTATTTTGAACAAATATTCAATGAATGTAAACTGTATACAATTTAAATCTGCTTAGAGCATCCGCTTATTATTTTCTTTAAATGTATAAAAAATGTGATAAATCCAGTCACAAATAGATATGTTTGTGTTATATGTCCAGTGTATCATAATATATTAATTAAGGGCTGGAACATATAAACTTTGATGCTACCACAACCTTCTTAACATTCCTTTTCCTTCAAATCATATTAATATGTTTTTGTATTTTCTGTTTAAAGTTTATAATAATATGGATAAGGACATGTTATGTACTTTTCATATGCCACCTTAAATTCATTATGTTTGCCCTGAATGGTGTGCATTTCTTAATTTTCCAGAACGTGCTATTAAAAGTTATGTGTATTTTCATATATCTCATGCACTTGAAGGTTTAAAATGAACGTATATAATGTTTTTCTCATAAATGACAAGAAAGGCAGTTTAATGAACTGTTAGTGAAATTTATATGTTGTCAGAATAGAGATATATATTACTTCTAAAGTTTCTAATTATATTTATGGCTTGGTCTAGACACTTTTATTTAATATTTATAAAACATCTTATTGTAGATATTTCATTCCTTCTAGGAAAATTGACAATAAATTATTATTTTCTGATATGAGCAAAGTATACATCAGAAGTACTTTATTAGCAACCAGCATAATATCCTTTTTTAGAATTCTTATTGAACTTTGCTTTTGGCTACCTTTATATTGACTGTTTTTAGCTATATTGATACACAATATCAGTCTGGATCCATTTTTTTTTCAGATACAGAAAAATGTGTGAAATGCTCAAAGTTTCAAATACAGGTACATATGTTTGAAAATTAGCTACTGAGCATAAGAAATAGCTTCTTTTCCATAACTATTTTTTGCTATATCGCCAGGGTCATATTGAATCTTTGTAGCTGCATAATAACCCTTAATACATGTTGTATTTTTCCCTCTTTTCTCTGGTTTTGTTTCTTGGCTGTTTCCAAATTGCATGGTTTGTGGGCAGGCACTATTGTAAGTTTCCTTACATAATTCTGCCACATAAACTTTCTTTTGACTTACACATCCTAGGAGACATTCTTATCATGACTAATGATAATGACCTAGCTTCTTGAGATATTTTTATGTAGACTAATATTACTGAACACACTCATTTCGCCTGTCTCCTAAGCCAGGGTTATATATCTGTATCTTAATAAGAAAAAAATTGTATATCGATCTACTAATATCACTAACATGTACGCTGATGATAATTCATTTTCATGAAATAGCTACCTGAACTTGATAGACCTTTTAAGGTAGGAATATATTGTAAGTTCTATTGTATGTTAATGAAAAATTGTTCGTAAATGAAACAATGAATACATAAGTTTAATTGTTTGTAAATGAAAAACAAACGACGTGGCTTCATTGTCAGTGGTAATGTGGTAGCCAAACTGGTTTAGGTGCCAAAAGCAATTTAAACATAGAAATAGGAGTGCACTTACAAGAGACTTTAAGTTAAAGTGGAAGAAACATTGAGACAATGACATACACTCAAATCTCTGTCTCAGTTTTCTTATGAAATGTAGAGGATGTGATCCATTGCTGTTACGCATGCTAACAGTTTCAAAAATTGGTAAATATGTTTCCAGCATATATCATTTTGCATTGACATTTGGTGAAGGCATTTTCTGCATTTTGGCATAGATGTACCAACTTGGAAATATAGCAATATCTGAAACATCATCTTTTCCCTCTTGAGATCCTTGTTCTCCAAGTGTATTTTTTATATCCACATAAAAAAAGTGTTCTCACCTTCTCCTAACATCATGAAGTTTTTTTCTGGCTTTTCCTTTTGCCCTCTGGTATCTCTCAGTTGAATCTTAATTAGGAAACTTTTCCATTTTTGTTGTTGTTATTTGCTGTCAAGTCAGCCCCGACTCATAGCGACCCCTCCTTGGGTTTCCGAGGTAGTATGACTACGGAAGTAGGATTGCCCAACCTTCCTTCCGAGGAGTGGCTGGTGGGTTTGAACCGACAGCCTTCTGGTTAGCAGTCCAGTGCCTTAGGCACTATGCTACCAGAGCTCCTATTTCCATTTTTAAGGAATAATAATTCACTATAGAACAAAGAACTGCTGCAATGCCAGCAAAACTGTACGCATGATTCTACAATGAATTTAAGTGTAATTTAAAAAATTGGTATAAATGTTCAAATAATGGACATAAAACTAAATACAATTTTAAATGGAATGGTTTAGATTTAGCTCTTGACACTAATGCTGGAATTGGCTAGTTGTTGATAGAATTAGCTACCTATTGCAATAATAATGATTCCCATTAAGTTTAAGAATTTTTGTTCCTACTTCTAACACATTAGCTTATAGACCATGCATCATTATGTTTATTGACCTTCTTTTTCTCCCTTATTTCTCCATGGCCAAGAAACCATCCTTATACAACTAATCATTAAAGTGTGTTATATTGTCTTTATAATGTTACCAATAGATTTCATAGTCATTTTATTTACTTTGCCTTTTTTGCAAATCTGTGTTTTCACTCTGCAGGAAATGGTGGTCCTTCAATATTGGATTAACTTTTGAATGCTATTTGGTTTTACCTATCTGCAGTATATCATTCCTTGAAATATCTAAGCATTATACAATTTAAATTTTATTATAATCTTATTTTACTATAGATAAAGTTGGAGGGTGTGTGTTCTCTATTACTCATGAGCTCTTTTGAAAATCCACATAAAATGACACATTTTAGGAATATATAAAGGCCATCATGATTATTTTTTTTCCTTCATTATTGCATTCTTGTAGGTCTTTCTTTGTTTTTCTATATTTGTCTCTGTGTACATTTTAATTGTTATTGGTGCTTTTAATGTGTCCCATTCAATATATTTGACTATACTTAACTCTCGATTATCTGCACTGATGAAGTACATTTACAATATATCTTTCTACCAAAAATTAAGTGTCAGTATGCTTAGAAATTTGGAAAGTCACTTCTAAGTTAATGCGGTAAAATTATCATAAAACAAAGTGGATTTTTGTCTACTCTTCAACTCTTTTTCCTGACTCTGCCTGAATTACACCTTCAGGGAACATACCTCTGTTCTCTGGCAGTCTTTTATCATGTGTCTTGTCACTATAGGCTAAGCACAGATGCTGTTTCAGAAATGTTTCTTCCATCAAGGCTTGATTAAAGGCTAGTGTTTCAAACCTCTTGCTACATGTAAAGTAAGAGTAATTCTTGGACATCCAGGATTTAAGAGAGAAGGTTAGTTCCTGATGTTAACAATAGAGAAAAGAATCTGCACATGTGTGCACACACCAACACAACATACCCAATACATCACTCACGCATATGACTTGTAGTGTGATATTATAAAGTTACATATATTATTCACATGCGAAGCTGCCAATGATTACATCCATGTAATTCTGAGTGATGAGTGTATGCAGTAGCTAAGAGAAAATAGGCTTGATACTAGAAAAACTAACTCAGTTTTAAATTTCAAATCTAGCATTTCCTATCTGGATGACTTTGGGCAGATTACTTACTTTTTATCTCATCTTTAGAAGGGCATAGTGTTATAGACTTTGTGGCAGAAGAAATGAGTTAATAAGCATAAAGTAATTGACATAAAATTTTTATTGTTATTTCTCCTTCTTTACCCCATCACTACTCAAATTCCAGGCAGAAGGACAAACAGGACAATTGACATAGCTCTATCATTCACCTTAATTGCGATTAAGGATGTAATATTTTCTGCCTGCCCTTTATGCCTCTGTTGGGAGACAGGAATAAAAATAACTAGTAATTATAGTTACAGTACTAATAGTAACAACTTTTCATGCATCCTTTCATGTGAATCTTATAAATGGCACTGTCGCTGCAAGTCTTAATTAGTTTATTTCTTACTCGAGGTTTGGTTGTTGTTGTTATTTGCCATCGAGTCATTGCATTGCCTGTGTTTGAACTGTCCTTGTGCCATCCAAACTGCTCACTTTGGTTACTATTTTCATTTTGTCCCTGAACACAGTAGCAGCTCCAACTTACTGTGGTCATTGCTATAATTCTTGCTGAGTTTGAAGAAAATGTTCATTTTATATATGAGCAAATTGAGGCCTGAGTCTAAAAGAAGTGTAATGAATTGTTTAGAACTCTTGAATTATAGAAGTTTTTTTAGAGACAGGAATTCTGTCCTTCTCTCATGTTTTTCTTCAGGGAGCTCTGGTAGCATAGTGCCTAAAGCACTTGACTGCTGACCAGAAGGCTGGTGGTTCAAACTCACCAGCCACTCCTCGGAAGGGAGGTTGGGCAATCTACTTCCATAGTGATACCACTTCGGAAACCCAAGGAGGGGCCGCTATGAGTCGGGTCCTACTCTACGGCACATAACAACAACATCATAGTGCCTTAAATTTTTTACCATGAGAATTTAATTTATTTGGGATACACCATGGACCCTTGTAGCTTTATATAAAATCCAAATATCCTTATGGGAGAAAAGCTAGAAAGTAAATTAGGCTAATAGCAGTCATTGATGGAGCCCTGGTGGTACAGTGATCAAGCGCTTGAGTGCTAACCAAAAGATGGCAGTTCAAACCCACCAGCCACTCTGTGGGAGAAAAATTTGACAGTCTTCTTCCATTAAGATTTACAGCCTTGGAAACCCTAGAGGACAGCTCTAATCTGTCCTATAAGGTTGCTATGAGTCAACTAGTGGACAGTAGGTGGTAGAGCAATCGTTGACACTTTATATGACCACTTTATAAATTGGTTTCTGTGCCCCATCTCTAGCTGGGTTTAACTCAAGAGTAAACCAAACCAAA